AAACTGAAAAGTCCCAGTCGCTTTAATCTCTCCTCATATGGGACCCGTTCCAAATCCCTAATCATTTTAGTTGCCCTTTTCTGAACCCTTTCCAAGGCCAAAATATCTTTTTTGAGGTGAGGAGACCACATCTGTACACAGTATTCAAGATGTGGGCGTACCATAGTTTTATACAGGGGCAGTAAGATATTCTGGGTCTTATTTTCTATCCCTTTCTTAATAATTCCTAGCATCCTATTTGCCTTTTTGACCGCCGCTGCACTCTGTGTGGAAGTTTTCAGAGAACTGTCCATGATAACTCCAAGATCTCTTTCCTGATTTGTCGTAGCCAAATTAGCCCCCATCATACTGTACGTATAGTTGGGGTTATTTTTCCCGATGTGCATTACTTTACACTTATCCACATTCAATTTCATTTGCCATTTTGTTGCCCAATCACTCAGTTTGGTGAGATCTTCTTGGAGTCCCTCACAGTCTGCTTCTGTCTTGACTATCCTAAACAGTTTGGTATCATCTGCAAACTTTACCACCTCACTGCTTACCCCTTTCTCCAGATCATTTATGAATAAGTTGAACAGGATTGGTCCTAGGACTGATCCTTGGGGAGTCGTAGGATTGAGCTCTCCGGTCCCATGGGGATCTCCCTATGGCGACGGGACTAATTCGGAGAGAACTCTTTGCAACGACACCGCTCAACGTGCAGGGGCCTCCTGTCTGCCTGGGTGCTGCTCTCTTGCAACCAGCGCTCACACGCTCGCTCTAATACAGATGAGTTTAGTTAATAATTGATCAGTGGGTGTTTGGAAGATGTGAAATATTCATTAACCTGGGAAGGAACGTGTCCCATCCTTTGGGACTGGTAAAACATCTCTGTGTGATGGATGAGATTTTCCGTGATCGCAGGGGCCTCCTGTCTGCCTGGGTGCTGCTCTCTTGCAACCAGCGCTCACACGCTCGCTCTAATACAGATGAGTTTAGTTAATAATTGATCAGTGGGTGTTTGGAAGATGTGAAATATTCATTAACCTGGGAAGGAACGTGTCCCATCCTTTGGGACTGGTAAAACATCTCTGTGTGATGGATGAGATTTTCCGTGATCCTCTTCGTATTTGCCATGGATGTCTGGGCAGAGGCCTAAGGCCTGGCTTCTTTAAGGGGCTCTGTGGTTGGTTCCTGGGTAACCGGGAAGGTATCATGGAGGCTGTTTTGTGCTGGCTTAGTACATTTAAATAGCCACCGGTCTGGGGACTGGCTGCCCCTCCTCTTTGCGGTTCACCCTGAGTGACCGCAGCTGGATTCCTGGGACCCACTCATGGTGGGATGACGGTGGGTGAGGACAGGGTGGGAATGGAGCCCAGCGAGACCAGGGAAGAGAAACCCGGCTGGTGCAGCTGGCGCTTGCTTTGCGGTCGATTTGCAGGAACCGCCCTCCTTTTCTTACACCAATCCCAAGTCCCTGGCGCTCTGTGTAAGTGGCAAGCCCTGTGACCCCGGGGTCTTGGCCAAATTTCCAATTCTCTCTGCTGTTTTAACTAAGGCATTCTGTGCACCTGCAGCAAGTCCCCCGGGAGGACTGATCTCTGCAGCCAGACTCCAGCAGAGATGGCTGCACACCGGGGAAGGCTTGGTAAACGGGGCTTTTCTGGATTCCACAGCTTGCACCCAGGTCGCAGCAAGGTCCTGAGGGCCACCCTCCCCAATTGCTGCCACCTTGCTTGAATCTCCACAGTCCCGCTGCCCTCCCAGCTCCCTACTTCAGCTCCCGACCCGCCGGGCGGATTTTGCGGACCCCTGCCATCCTCCGCGCTCCTGAGAAGGAAGGAAATCAGCAGCCACTTGGAGGTTGGGTTTGGTTTTTTTTTTATTATTTCGTTATTATCCAAGTACCTTTGAAAAGATCATTGTACAAGTCGGCACATGAAAACGCTCAGGAGACGCCGTCGATGGCACGCCGCTGGCGGCTGACGCAGCAGTTCGACAATGTACATATTTACAGTGGCACCCTTCAGAAACAAGGGCAAATGGAAAACCTGTGGCTGTTGGGTACATTCACAATCTCACCAGACACAGAAAACGATCCCAACTTAAAAAAAGAAGAAAAATGCTTGTAATGCAGTTCCCTGGATGAAAACAAATTTCTCATTTGCTGGACTTCACATAGTGATAGGCAAGTTACAGAACCGTGTTCAAAGGCACTCTGTGACATATACAATAGAGCGAGGGCAAACCTCGCTGGGCGGATACACAACTGCACAAGCGCAGCCCACGGGATCACCTCTGACGGTCAGCGCCACGCCTGTCTCACGGTGCTGCCCCCGGCGGGAGCAGCACAGCGGAGCTGGCAACATACCACTGAACACCAGAGGTGGTGCTGAGGCAAAAGCCCTCTCGCTTTTACCCTGTGGCAGAAATTGACCGGTAGAGAGGCCCAGTGATCGGCGTGTGTAGGGCTGGTCTGCAGAGGGTCGGTGAAGAGAGACCTCAGGGCTGCGCCCTGGATTCTCCGCTTCTCAGGATCACCTTGCATGATCGGGAAGAAGCAGATTTAACAATTTGCTTTGGATTCTGAGCTCCCAGCATTCTTGCTTCTGAGCACACACAGGCCCTTTGGAAACCTGTCCTGAGGATCCTGTCTCCCCTGCAGCCGTTTCTCAGCCAGCTCTCCTTCGGAAGTGCAGCCTCCCAGGAGATTCTGGGCACAGAGGGCATCCTCCGCGGAGGAGAAATGGTCCCACACATGCCCATCGAGGGGGGAAGAGGCAGAAACAGCTCGATTCGTTATGTGGCAGGCTGTCTCCGGCCCCGGGAATTACTGCCTCCGTTAGTCTCTCTAGAGAAGTGTTTCTTGTTTTAAGACCGAGGAACACCAAATCATATTTTTTTTAAATGAGGAACACCAAGGATTCTTTGTTGAGAAAAAAAAAAAGAGTGCCTGCCCCTTTAAGGGCGGCCATTTTGAATTTTTGTTCTCCGCGGCACACCTCCGACTGCCTCGTGGCACATGGGCGTGCCGTGGAACACAGTGTCAGAAACACTGCTCCAGAGAGCCCTGCCAGAGGGTTTGGGCCTTAGCAGCAGTGCTCCAAGGAGGAATCGCCCTGCGGAGGGAGCCCCATGGTGACTCGAGGGCTCTGCAGCAGGCAACGGAAGCTGCACGTTTCCAAGTGGTTTTCCCTCTGCACGACATTCGCTCTTGCTAGGAGTCCCACGCCCGCATGAGATCTCAGCACGACCAAATCCCCCGGTGGGATGGGACACTCCAGTCTCAGCGGAGGGCTCTGACCGCTAATTACGTAGGCGAGGGCCCTCCGGTGATGCCCACACTCAGGAAAGGCTCATGGCTGGGAGCAGGCACCACCAGCTTGATCTGTGGCGAAAGAGCAGGAGATGGCACTTCACAAAGGAAGCGCTTACCAAAGCCGAACCTGCCGATCCCGCCCCTCATCGTGGTGCGCTGGGGCGTGGGTGCAGCTGGGAGGCAGGAACCAGCCACTGACTCCAGTGACTTAGGCGCTCTAACAGAGAGCCGGCTGTCAAGGGCTCCTAAATGCAAGCCCTTTCCGCCAGTGCTCGCTTGCTCACAAGAATGCTCGGAGAAAAAACGCCTAGATCCGGGGGCTTAAATATCGGCGAGGTGAAACGTGGCTTGTAGCGGCATGAACAACCCCCGTCACGCCCAGGCTTTCGCGCCCACACCAGGGCGGCCTTTGCGAGCCAGCCAACACACGGGCGTCCATGTCAGCATCTGAGATAGCAGCTTGGGTGAAGGTCCCCGAGGGAGCTCTCCACACACACACAGACACACACACGCTCTGTCAGGAGGCGGGGAGGGTGGGATGCAGGCGAGGCTCCACGCCGAGCTAGGCGGATGGCTGTACACGCGGGGGAGCTCCGAAGTACCTGTCGGCCTCACATTTACATAAGAGCACTGTGACATTGGAAAGATTTTCCTTTTATTACAATATATCAAAAATATGCAGCTTTAGTAAACAAGGTCATCTTACATTTCTAACGCGACTGTACAATGCTACAACACACGGAAGGCTCTGCCTGGCGAGGGAGCTCGCCCGGGCCCCCACCGGCAGGGCTGCGGGCCGACTCGGGGGCAGTTCCAGGCCGTCTAGCTTTCCAAAGCCTGCCCAGGCCCCCTTAGTCGATCTTCTCCACCTTCCCGATGATTTTCTCCTCGAAGATGGGCAGGGTGGCCTCGTCCTCGCGCACCTCCTCAAACACCACGCCGCAGTCAAACTCGTGGCTCACTTTTTTGAAGTAATACCTGCGGAGCAGAGGGGGCCTCGTGAATGGCTCGTCCAGCTAGCGCCAGCCCGGGGCCCTGCAGGGCCCCGCCCCATCTATGGAGCCAGGGGTCAATCAACATCCACAGCACCCAGCCTGGCCAGGGTCGCACTAAACCCCCTCTCCTGCCCCCCCCTTTCAAAGCAGCATGACAGGAGATGCCAGAGGCCTGGACTCAAGGACCAGCCCATGGCTCCTGTCGGTATCTGCAGGTGCTGGTTGGCTGCCCAAGGCCGGAGTTGCCAGTCCTAGCAAGAACAGATGGAGGAGAGGACACGCCTGCCTCTCCTGCCATCAGGGGCTATCCAGCTGGGCTGGCAGCCCAAACCCGGACGGTCCCACAGGACGGACCCACGCTGCTCCCCTATGGAGGCCGGAGCTCCGGCTCAGGGAGGCGACCGGTCCCAGAATGCAACTGGCCTCCATGCAAACGGCAGGCAGCGCCGGGCGCCTTC